CACCAACAAGTCTAAAAGTGTCTATTACTATGTCCATACAGAATGGTAATCATTAGGAAGTAAAACTAAATATGTCAATTAAGTTGCTGGTCGAAGGAGAGGAGTAACACACCTTTAGGGCTGCTTTTTCTTCAGGGGCTGCAGGTAACTGGGAAGTCTAGAAAATCATTTTTCATTGCGCTTCCCGTGGGGAGGCTGGATTGTGGTCGTGGTGAGAGAAGAAAAAGAGCAGATTCAGGGAGACAGGGGAATGAAGGAGACTGAGAAAAGAGATAGTCCTCCTCCACCCAGATCCCCTATCTTCCAGTATATAGGCGTTACACCCACCAACTGCCCCCGGTGCTGTGTAATCCCATCAATGGCCAAGACCCAGAGACTATAAAACCCTGCTCCTGAAAGAAAACACGTAGTCTCCTGCCTCTGTGTCTGGCTTTCTCACTGGTGCCTTTTGGAGGAGGGTGTGTTGAGTTTCCCTCCCAACCCCGAGCAGAGCCCTGGCAGCTCAAGACCTCTGGTTCGAGCCACAGCCATGTTTAAGACCACTCTCCACAAGTTCGGATGAGCCTCACGCATGAAGGTACCGGCAGAGGAACCCAAGTGTGCAGGACCTGGGGCTGAGATCTCCAAGCTGCTCGTATTGGAACTGGGCCTCCTCCACCCAGATCTCCCATCTTCCAGTATGTAGGCATGACACCCACCAACTGTTCCCGGTGCCGTGTAATCCCATCAATGGCCAAGACCCAAAGACTATAAAACCGTGCTCTGGGGAGTGCACGGCCACACAAAATTTTATTATCTAGTCTTAATCTGGAAAAACTGGCAGGCTACCAGAAGTATCCTGCCCAAACCACAGAGTCTGGCAAACTCCCCATGGTGTATTCAATATGCCAAAAACCAGTAACAATCATGGTTCTCTTTCTCCTGACCCTGAAAGAGCCTCAAATGTGGTACTTCTTAAAATCTCAGGGATAGGAAGAAGGAGACATTACTGGGGCATGCTTGAGTCAATCGATGAACAACAGGATGACAACGAGACAGTGAGAGAAGAAGAGACACAGAGTTAGAGGACACGGCTGCGACTTAAAGAGAAGGCTGAGAGCTGAGAGTAAGAGTGGCTGGGGAGATTGGAGAGGAGTCACAGAGAGCATTGGGGAGCGAGTTAGAGAGAGGGTTGGATAGAGCTGGGAGACAAGAGACTGAATAAACTGCAAGTAATCAGCAACCAGCCTGGTCCTCATTTTACTTTCCTCGGTCCAAAGCAACAACTGTCCAGGGTGGAGAAGTGGCCCAAGCGCACCAAATGTGGACAGAGAGGGAGAGCTACCAGGACAGACCGGGAACGTCTGTTAACGGGTAAATCCTGTTCAAAATCCCACTTCTCATAAGTTCCCCCAGGCCCCCCTGGAGTGACTCCTGAGTGCAGAGTCAGGAGTAGTCCAGAGCACTTCTGGCTGTGATCCGAAAACAAAAACACAAAAAAGTGAACTGTGGGGGGCAGCTGGAGCGATAGCACAGAGGGGAGGGTGTTTACCTTGGGCACGACCAACCCAGCTTTGATTCCCAGCATCCCCAATGGTCCCCCAAGAACCGCCAGGAGTAATTCCTGAATGCATGAGCCAAGAATGACCCTTGTGCATCACTGCGGGTGATCCAAAAAGAAAAAAAAATGAAAGTGAATTGTGTAGTTAATCAGAAAAAAGAACACAACTATCTCGACTTAGTAAAGAAGCATTTTTATGATGGCTACAGGGAAAGCACAGACCACGAGTTGCTTGTCTGGCACATAGCTGACCGAGGTTCAATCTCTACCACCTCACAGGGTTCCCAAACCTAGCATTATCAATGAGAACAGAGCCGAGATAAACTCTAATCTCCATTGGGTGTAGTCAACCAAAAATAAATCAATAAATTTAGGTGCCACAGCTATAGTCTGGTAGGGTACTGGACTTGTACACGGCTGACCTGTATACCCCGGCACAACACTGAGTACCATTTGTTACTTTTGGCAGCAACCACAGGGTATGACCATATATATGTGTGTATATATATATATATACACACACATATATACATATACACATATATATGTATATATACACATATATGTGTGTGTTTGTGTATGTGTGTATATCTATATCTACATATATATATATATATATATATATATATGTAATTTGTTCACTAGTCAACCTTCACCAACCAGTTTTGTAGAATGCAGGTTTGGATTTTGCTAAAGGTGGCAGAACTTTGAGCTTACCTGAGAGGTGCTTGGAGGAATCCTGCTTTGTACAGGAGAGTGTATCATGGTAGACTGCTTGCAAGGACAGGTCTTGCATTCCTGGCCTATCTCTGACTGCAGGAATTCAAATTCTATATAAATAATGTGAACCTTGTGAGAAAGTTACAGCAGGGGGCAGGGCTGAGGCACAGCTGGTAGACAGAGGTCAGGACAGGGTTGCTGGCTCCTGGTGCAAACTTGAGCCAGAAGTACAGGCTGCAATTTCAAAGGCTATCAGCGGCACAAAAGAGCTGACAGTGAGTGGCAGGGCATTTGTCATGAACGCAAAAGACTTAGCTTCACTACCTGAATTGCCAAGGAGTGATCCCGGAGAGCTGCTGAGTTTGGTAAAATCCCGCATAGACAATCCTCCTGCCCAAATAAAGGCAATGAGGAGTTAACTGTCAACAGAAGAGGTGCAAAATCTAGTAATATGTTCTGAACGGTCAGTCCTCTGGGTTTGTTGTTTCAGTTTTGGGACCACATCCAGAAATGCTCAGAGCTTACAGGTCAGGTTTTCAGGCTATGGTTTACCTATGGGTACGTGAATTTATAAAAGAAAAAGAGGATGAAAAATTAGAGGATGAAAAATTGTACTTGGAGCCAGAGTGATAGTACAGTTGGCAGGGCATATGTTCGGTCCCCGCATCACATACAGTCCCCCAAGCACTCCCAGGAGTGACACTGATATTTGTGATTGAGGGGTGGTTTTTGTACCCTTTTACTTAGTTCCTATTTAATCAGATTTCCCCTGGATTCCATCATCAAGACCCATTATTTACAGCGACTAGAGCAATAGCACAGAGGGTAGGGCGCTTTCCTTGCATGTGGCTGACCCAGGTTCGATTCCCAGCATCCCATATGGTCCCCCAAGCACAGCCAGGAGTGATTCCTGAGTGCAAAGCCAGGAGTATCCCCTGAGCATCTCTGGGTGTGACCAAAAAAAAGGACCATTTTTTTACAGGTTAACATACAAATCAAGTCCAAATGCTGGGACACTGGCATAGGAAATAGTAATCATTACTATTATCATTATGGTTTGCTATATAAGGAAACTCAGGAGGTTAATTCAGGTTCACCAGGAGCCCAGACGTTAGTAGGCATATGAAAATATACAGTGGCAAGAAATCTTAAGAGTTTACAGAATGGGAAGATCTTTGCGTTTCCCTGAATTGCAATCATCAGCAATTCCCTTTCCCTCATAGTACTGAAGACACCAGTTTAATTTGAACTTGAGAAGTGTAACGTAAAGAATGAACTAGGAGTGTATATTTAAGACATCAAAAGGTTGAAACAGAGTGTTTGCCACAAGATCCCCCAAGCAACACACTTCAAGAGTAATTCCTGAGTGCATATTCAGGAGAAACCCCTGAGCATCACCCAGGTGGGACACAAAAATGGAAAAAAAAATGGTCAAAGGGCAAGCCATGAGGAACCCAGAGATAATGGAGGCATTGTGTATCCCACCCAAGGGCTGGGGGAGATTGAATGATGCATTCAAGGTAAATTGAAATTCAGATTTTAGGGACTGCTGGGAGTTTGTCTTGCAGGGGATGACAGGATATAATCCCTTTCCCTCCCAGGCCCACCTGGAGTTATCCTGCCTGGGGAGCCAGAAGCAACTCCATTTCTGGTTGTGCCTTATCCCCACCCCTACAAAAAAGTACTTGTTTGTGTATTGAACAGAAAGCGCTAGTCAGGGGGATCAGGTTTATAAATTACAGATGTGAGCAATTTCAGTGATCCCTGAGATCAAGGCTTTCTCTGCCTGTAGATGGTTTTTCTGGGCTCACCTCCAGTATCACATGGTCCCCTGGTACCACAGGGAGTAATCAGCTACCTCGGAAGCACCGGGAAACTTAGAATTTGCATCTTTGGGGAGGGAGACATAGTCAACAGTGCTCAGGGCTTATTTATTCCTGCCTTTGCACTCAGGAGTCACTCCTCTGGGGCCAGGGTTGAGGGCTCCTAACGTCCTAAGGTCCACCAAATCCTAATGGTTTGGAGGGAATTGATGTAGGCATGCAGGAAAGCTCCCAAGGTAAAGGCAGTAAATTTCCCAGGAATAGCTCTGAAGTTGTGAAGGCCAACCTTGAAGAAAACAGAAACTAAGGCCTGATCACACCCTAACCTATGGCCAGTAACAGACCCAGAGAAGCTCCTGAAGAAACAAAAAGCCAGGAAAGGAATTTCAAAGATCATCACCACTCTCAACCTGCCTAGGCAACCTCCTTAGCAACGGGACTTTGACCTAGGTAAAAGCCTAGATTGGATTCCCTTCTGTTCCAGGGAGACCGCTCATTGGCTTTCCCAGACATTTGCGGGAGCAGGGCAATTGGAGGTTCCCCGAGTGTGGGAACCAAAGTCGAATTCCAGAAGGATGTGGGGTCCCCCAACACTGCTTCCGACCCCCTCACTCAAATAATATAGTCAGATCAGAAGGTGTGGACCAGGCGGGGTGGGGTGGGGGTTGGGGGATGACCCCAGACCTCAATGGTGCTGCTTCATTCTCGAGGGGTCCGTGTGCCAAGAGGAGTCACCTCTGATGGATTCAACTCTCTTACACCCGCAAAGCAAGACAGGGGATGAGAGAGTCCAGCATCTTCCGGCCCTGGCCGCGTCTGACTGGGCCTTGGTCAGGGAGTAAACTGGGGATCTGTGTCCGGGTGTCCCTGCTGCCTGGGGCTTGCCCCACTCACTCTATGTGTGGAAGGATACCCAGTTACCAGTGCTCCAGAGCCACCTACCCAAGAGTGAACAGGGTGACACAGGATAGGCTTGCTTTCCTGCAGTACGATGTGTCCAACCAACTCAGTTCTAAAGGTCTCCAGACCCCACTTCCACATATCACAGTGCCCCGCATTGCTGAGGGTGCCATCATCCGTCCTGAGTTTTGAGGTTCTTATACACAGGAGAAGTCCCATTTCTTCTGTTCTCCGTGGAGGAGGGTGGCAGAAGCCAGATTCAACTCCAGCATCTCCAGATGTCTGGGGTGAAGGTAACAGCAATCAGAGAAACTAGGGTGTGTTAAGGAGAATTTTAATTAACATACGTGGGGAGAGGATCACACCAGCATTGCTCAGGGATTCCTGCTGCTGGGACTCTCGGGGCCGAGAGAGATAACCATGAAAAAAACTGCCTTTCTTCGAACACTCTTGAACTTATTCACCAATGTGGCTTGGCACATGCCTCAGGCAACCGCAAGCGAACGTCCAAGCTGGCAAAACAATGCAGAGAAGCATCAAGGATGACCTCAAAGACAGGAGAACAGCGATGCTGGTAGATGTGGCAGAAGCCGGGAAAAGGTTTCATAATGCCCGCCTGTCCTTCACCAACTACAAGACCAAGATCACTCCCCTCCAACATCCTGATGGATCTATCACATCATCCAGAAGGGAAATGGAGAAGATTATTCATGACTTCTTCTCAGATCTCTTTAATAGCCATGTCCACCTGCCCGCATACCACATTCTGCACCATGGATATATCATTCCGAATGTTCTCCCTTCAAAATTCAACATGCCATCTCGTCGGTAAAGAAACAACACCTGGCCCAGACGAGATCAGACCTGAACACTTGAAGAACTTACCATCAGTACTCATCAATACACTGGCTCGGCTCTTCACATGCTGTCTGAATGCAAGGTTCCATCCCAATGGAAAACCAGCAAGACCGTACTACTATACAAGAAGGAAGGCATCCACGACATTGGCAACTATTGTCCAATCTGCCTATTGTCTCTCATCTACAATCTGTTCACTCGAGTCATCCTGAATAGGATTAGCAGAATACTGATGAAGAACAACCATGTGAACAAGGTGGGTTCCGAAAAGGATTCAGTACCATCTACAATATCCACATGATTACTAAGCTCATTGAGGGTTCTCAGGAGTTCAAGATGCCGCTCTGTCTAACGTTCATTGATTTAAAGAAGGCCTTTTTCTTCTGTTGAGATGGAAGCGGTCATAGAAGCCCTAGCCAATCAGGGTGTACAAACTCAATAAATCAGGATCCTCCGTGAGCTCTATGACGGATTCACTATGAGGATCTGACCACTCTACAAAGAAGTAATTATCCATGTCAAGAGAGGGGTTCAGCAGGGTGATACCATTTCACCAAAACTCTTCAGTGCCACCCTTGAGAACATCATGCGACGAATGGAATGGGAAGGAATGGGAGTGAAGATAGATGGTCGGCAACTATACCACCTCAGCTTTGCTGATGACATCATTCTAATAACACCCAACATCAGCCAAGAGGCAAAAATGATGACCTACTTCGATCGTGAGTGTGGAAAGTTCGGCCTACAGCTGAATTACAAAGTATCACAATTATGAAGACAATGTTTATTACAAACAGCCTCGTTTCTGATCCTCCATTCGCTTTCAATGGAACCACCATCTCCGAATGCAAGTTATATATACCTAGTTTGAGAAAGAAACATGATGAATGACCTGGCACCTGAGTTTCACAGGTGGATGAGAGTGTCTTGGAATGCCTTCAAGAGCGTTTAAGAAATAACTAAGAGGACAAAGAACCTCCAGCTTCGAGCACATGTCTTCAATTCCACTGTTCTTCCTGCATTAACATATGCCTTAAAGACCTGGGCCCTATGAAAACAGGATGAGAACGCTACTTGGGTCTTTCAAAGAGGAATCGAAACAGCTACGCTTGGAATATCACGCATCACTCAAATGAGAGATAGAATCCGGAGTTCTGATCTCCATCGACGGTCAAGAATCAGGGATGCTGTCTGATCTTCTAAGGCATCAAAAATCAGATGGGCTGGACACGAAATGAGGTTTACAGACAACCACTGGCCTAGACCCATTACTGACTGAATTCCACGGGACGTCAAAAGACTGCGTGGACGCCCACCTACAAGATGTTCAGACTTCTTACTCAAGACCCTGAAAAATCAGTTTGAGGCTCTCCATGTTCCTAGAACAAACAGATGCCATTGGGCTACACTAGCACGCAACAGGCATGCATGGAGACGTTACTGACACCCACTCGAATACATCTATGAATAAAGGGAGATCAATTGATCAATTGATATATTTTTTTAGGTTTTAGAATTACTGCTTTTATGCAGCAACATGGTTGGAACTGGAAGATACTGTCTTGAGTGAAGTTAGCCAGAAAAAGAAACAAAAACAGGATGTTGTTCACTCATCTGTGGAGTACCGAACACTGGATGTGGAAATGTAATGTAAAGGGGCTGCTTAAATCATCCCTGTTTCCAGAGTTTAGAGAGAAGCCGGACAAAGAAGGAATGAAATTTTGGGGGGAAGAGACCCAGAAGTTTACAGGGATCAGGGATTCACTTATGCCAGTGACATGAGTGAGGGGTGTAGCCATTTACCCAAAATACAGATGCAAGAGAACTGAAAACAAGAGATCTAAGCTGTAACCACTGAAACCTAGTCAAGTGCTTGTCCAGATGACAGGTGGGGGCAGAGTGGGCACCTGGGTGGGGAGGGAATACGGGAACACGGGTGGAGGGAAGCTGATGCAGGAATTGGTGTTCAATGATGGTACGCCTAAACACAACTATCAATAACATTGAAAATACTGGCATTTTAATGAAGACTTTAAAAAACAATACAATAAAATAAATTTCCAGATTTCAGCACCCACTGAGGTTAAAGACCCTCTAGTCCCAGCATTAGGCTCCGTTATTTTTCCTGTGATGCTGAGACCATAGATGTTGTTGTGGGGATGGAGCCGGACCCCACCTTTCAAGTTGCATGCTCGGTCCACTGAGCACTCCAATGGCATAATAGTTTCAACAAGAGACTCTTACAGCACACTTGTATGCAATACCCCTGTTCCCTAAAGAAACTGCTGTAATGTCACATCCTAAACTTGTGATTTAAGTTCTGAAATCACACAAAATGCACAATGAGAATTAGTCCAATGTTGAATGGAATGCAGCTGAATGACCAAACAGGTGGAGGACATCTCCATAGTTCTCACAGTCCAAGCAAGCCTACAGAAAGGGAAAATCTGCGGGAAGTGTTGCTGGGAGGAGCTCGGCAATCCCCCAAAAAATCCTTTTGGGTTTTGTTTTTAATCAGACCCAGTGATGCTTGGGATACCAAAGGGGATGCTGGACATCGAAGGTAGGCGGCATCTGTAAGGCAAGCACCCTCTGTGATGCACTGCTGTTCTGGTCCTAATTAACTTCACTATGGGCTCACAGTCACAATTTAACATACACACAATAAAACATTTTTTGGCGCGTACAAGTGTACAGTAGGTAGGCATTTGCCTAGCATGAGGCTGACAGGGTTTGATCCTTATACACTGCTAAAAGCAACTTATGAGAACCACCAGAAATAACTGTTGAGCATCCCCAGGCCTCATAATAAAAGAAAACTCAATTTCTTCCCATTTTCAAAAAAACATGACAATGATCCAAAGGCAAATATATGCATGGTGTCAGATTGACTGAGCAGGGTCCAGAAAGGGTACCCGACCCATTAGGTGTACAGTCTGGCCAGTTATACAACTGGGAAAACAAGAGCCTTGAAACACATGGACTACTTGACATACCTGACAGATAGGGAAGAATCACAACAAAGTCAAGAAAGCAAAGCACTGGATCTCTCCGTAATGAACAGCTCCGGGGAGAAGACACCCCTACCCCATGCCACACCCCCACATTACATGTTCTAGGAATGAGAAGGGGACGCTCAATGTCCAATAAGCAATGAAAAGACGTTGTGGACTGGAAGACTCCTGGGTTGGCCACATGCAAGGTAAGCATCCTACTTGCTCTACTATTACTCTGGCCATTTCTAAATAAATGAGAGAAAACGGGGGAAAATGGGAGAGCACTTAGAAAGCTTTCAGGTTTAAGTCTCAGTCATACAATGAAACACCCATCCCTTCACCATGCCCATTTTCCATCACTAAAAACCCAAGTATAACGCCATTCCACAGCCTTCCTCTACCTGTGGGGCAGATAATTTCCAATTCTTTTCTCTACTTTGATTACATTCAATATTTTGACAAAAGACCCACCATTATTATTTGGCATTTTACTCTGGCAGTTAGATCTGGTGAAAACGCAACAGTAGACAATTCTTTTTCATTTGCTGGTTATAAATAACATATGATTTTGGAATTCTGAAATTTTAACAACTAAATCTGGAGGAATTTCTGCAAAAACCTGCTGGGTTCCGAGATTTGTTCCTGAGTCTCTGGGATTATGGCCATTAAACAGCTTAATCACGAGCCAGAGAGGCGGTTCGTGGGAATGACTTAGGCTCTTGTTGGAGTGGGGAGGAATTGGCCAGCTCCACACCCATCCTGCGAGGCCCCACGTATCTTCCTGAGTGTGGGCACAAACCTGACTTTCCAAAGGCCTTTGGCGAATGGAGGCCACCGAGCCGCCAAGGAGGAGCAGTTGGCAGGACAGCACCAATTCCCCCTGGGGTGGACCTGGGACAGTAACCTACTGCAGGGTACAGATGCTTTTCTGCTAAAAGGCACTGGGTTTCGAGATTTGTCTCTGAATCTCTGGGATCATGTCCATTACTCACCTTGATCACGAGCCATAGAGGTCAATCGTAGGTGCCAGACAACTCAGGGTCTCGTTGGGGCAGGGGGAAAAGGGCCAGCTCCACCACCATCCCATTAGGCCCTGCATGTCTCCTCACTGCAGTCCCAAACCTAACCGTCCAGAACCCTAAGATACGGCGGCCACTGAGCCGCCAGGCACAAAACCTATTCCCACCTGAAATACCCAGCTTAGGTAACCTACTGTGGGGACAGAACACATTTCTTCTGAAAGCCACTGGGTTCCGAAATTAGTTTCTGAGACTCTGGGATCAGCCAGAGAGTTCGTACATGGGCAGTGACTCGGGGTCTCATTGAGGTGGGGAGGAAAGTGCAGAGTCTAGCCCAATCCCATGAGGCCTTGCATGTCTTGTCACTGAAGGCCCAAACCTGTCTGTCCAATGGCCTCTGGACGATGGTGGCCCCTGAGCCACCAAGTGGGATCAGGCGGAGACACACCCCCTTTCCCCCTTGTGGTGGTCTGTCGCCGGTAGCTCATTGTGGGTATCGGGCACATCTCTGCAAAAAGCCGCTGGGTTCCGAGATTTATCTCTGAGTCTCTGGGATCATAGCCTTTAAGAGGTTTGATCAGGAACCAGAGAGACCTTGCCTCCAATTATATAGCTGAGCAGGAAATGGTTTGTTGGTGTGTCTTGCACATACCTAACATTGGCTGTTTACTTTCTTGGAAGACTTTGCCCAAAGTTTTTGGAGTCTGGCCAAAGGCACAGCATCAATTTTGGAGTATCTGGAAGTCTGATGGTGCGATCAGGCTGCTGATGCAGTCGCCTTACAGGCACATATTGACCTGCTGGCGGTACCATAATCCCAGGTTGTAGAAATTCTATATATGGGAAAAAACACCAATAGTGGGGTTGGAATCACTGTGAAGCTACTAGGATGCTAGCCTCCCCATCCGATAGGTACCCAGCAGCACCACAGAATAATTCCTGATATGCACAACCAGAAGTAAACCTTGTGCATCAAAGAATCCCTTCCAACTGCCTTGAATAAAAGCAGCTATTAAAATTAACACAAAGAGGGGCTGAAGTGATAGCAGAGCGGGTAAGAGGTTTGACTTGCACGTGACCAACCCGGGTTCGAATCCCAGAAACAATATGGTCCCCTGAGCTTTACCAGGAGTAATTCCTGAGTGCATAAGTCAGGAGAAACCCATGTGAAACGCTGAGTGTGACACAAAAAGCAAAAAATATATATATATATAATCCAAAGAGTAAATTTTCAAGGCATATACCTCTCATTTGTCTAAACACACCCCAAAGTGCCAAACCCAGCACTGAAGCCAATGAAAATGACTGCCGGCCAAAGTGTCCCTTTCCTTTGGGGGCTGCCTGTGAACATATCTGGAGTTTCGATAAGTGTTAGGTCCAGTCCAAAGGCTCAAAACAGGGTCCTTCACAGTCTCCAGTAGGGAGGAACGAGATGACCAAGACCCCCACTCTTTGCAAGCTCCTCACACCAAGGCCTGAAGTCCATGTGCCCAACCTCCAGTACCGTCTTGGACCTGGATCGATGGTGGCTGCGGGGGCCCTCAGGATAACGCACCCTCACCCATGACACCTGAGTGACAGAACAGCACCCAATGCACCCCTCAAAAGCTCCACATCCACTAAAGCCTGGATATCCAGAACAAGTAACAAACAAGCGTGAATGCACCATACAAGCTGGCTTGACCTGGCGCTCAAGTGACCAAATCAGGGTGCTCAAGCATCCCAAATCCTAACACAGGAAACACTGAAGAATGAAGGATTACCTATTTTTCCATTTTCAAAGTATTCAATGCTGCATCTTGGTTGATTTCTGCCATAATTCTCTCCAGTGTGAATTCTCCTATGTATAGTAAGGCTTGAGGATTTAGCAAAGGCCTTCCCACATTCCTTACATATATACGGTTTCTCTCCAGTGTGAATTCTCCTATGTACACTAAGGCTTGAGGCATCAGCAAAGGACTTCCCACATTCCTTACATATATACGGTTTCTCTCCAGTGTGAATTCTCCTATGTATAGTAAGGCTTGAGGATTTAGCAAAGGCCTTCCCACATTCCTTACATATATACGGTTTCTCTCCAGTGTGAATTCTCCTATGTACACTAAGGCTTGAGGCATCAGCAAAGGACTTCCCACATTCCTTACATATATACGGTTTCTCTCCAGTGTGAATTCTCCTATGTATAGTAAGGCTTGAGGATTTAGCAAAGGCCTTCCCACATTCCTTACATATATACGGTTTCTCTCCAGTGTGAATTCTCCTATGTACACTAAGTCTTGAGGCCAAAGCAAAGGCCTTTCCACATTCATTACATATATACGGTTTCTCTCCAGTGTGAATTCTCCTATGTACATTAAGGCTTGAGGTTGTAGCAAAGGCCTTTCCACATTCCTTACATATATACGGTTTCTCTCCAGTGTGAATTCTCCTATGTACAGTAAGTTTTGAGGCTCCAGCAAAGGCTTTCCCACATTCCTTACATATATACGGTTTTTCTCCAGTGTGAATTCTCCTATGTACACTAAGCTTTGAGGATTCAGCAAAGGACTTCCCACATTCCTTACATATATACGGTTTCTCTCCAGTGTGAATTCTCCTATGTACACTAAGTTTTGAGGCCAAAATAAAGGCCTTTCCACATTCCTTACAAACATATTGTCTCTCTCCAGTGTGAATTTTCCAATGTTCACTAAGTCTTGAGGCCAAAGCAAAGGCCTTTCCACATTCCTTACACATATATGGTTTCACTCCAGTGTGAATTCTCCTATGTGCAATAAGTCCTGAGGCTCCAGCAAAGGCCTTCCCACATTCCTTACTTATATACGGTTTCTCTCCAGTGTGAATTCTCCTATGTACACCAAGGCTTGAGGATTGAGCAAAGGCCTTCAGACATTCCTTACATTTATACGGTTTCTCTCCTGTGTGAATTCTCCTATGTACACTAAGATTTGAGGCTTTCGCAAAGGCTTTCCCACATTCCTTACATATATATGCTGTCTCTCCAGTGTGAATTCTCCTATGTACACTAAGACTTGAGGCTTTCGCAAAGGCCTTCCCACATTCCTTACATATATACGGTTTCTCTCCAGTGTGAATACTTCTATGTATACTGAGGCCTGAGGATCGAGTAAAGTCATTATCACGCTCCTGACATATAGAAGGCTTCTCTGCACTATGAGTTTTCATAGGTCCATTAAAATTAGAGGTCTGAATGAAGGCCTTCCTACATGTCTGACATTCATGAGGTTTCTCTCCTGTATGAATTCTCCTATGCATAAGATGTGATGATTGATCAAAGGCCTTCCCACATGTTTCACATGCAAAAGGTTTCGCTCCTGAATTTATATTCATATGGTCATGATGGAGTAACCCTTGACTCACACTTTGTTCTTGGGGCTGACATTTCTGGGGATTCTGTCCACTATGGTTTTCTAAGGGTACACCACAGTGCTGAGAACATGGGGAGGCTCCTCCACATTCCTTACACCTATATGGGTTCTGCTCACGGTGACTGTGGTTGAGGGTATGTTGCTGTGAGGGACTAACTATAAACAGTGCTTCTCTCCCTAGCAGGTACCCCATTGGGGAATTTTGTGTCTGTGAACTGAGAATAACACACTCCAAGGAACTTTTTCCAGGAGAGGGCTTCTTCAGAGTGAGGTAGCTCTCACCATTCTGATCACCCTCAGAAGAAATCCCGCCTGTCTCGTCGTCCTCATGGGGCTGAGGGTCGAGACATTATCATACAGTGCAGGATCAGAGACATTCCACTCGGGGTGGCAGCTTTCCTGCAGAACACCAGAGGATTCTAATTATTGACTTATTCACTGAGTCTTCCTGTCAAAAAACTGAGCCCTTCAGATGTAGTTCCACACATATGCACCACAAAAATGCAATTACTGACATATGAATTGTCTTACTATTGAATAACTTCATGTTACCGTAAGTTGGATGCACAACATTGATGGATAGAGAGTAAATTCTGGGACTTTCCCCCTTTTTAATTTAATGAAGGAATACAACTAGAAATAATTCCTTCTTTAGAAAACGGACACATCCATTTCAAGAGAAAATGAAATAGATTCACATGTGGATTTGGTTAAAGTTCTGTGTGGAACCTGTGATGCAGGGGTGAAGACTACGCTGCATCGTAATGCAGCTGAGACAGATCACGTGGCCATTGCAATGCTCTCACCACAAGTGATTCCTTTCAGGATCAATAAAGTTTTTTTTTTTCTTTCTGTTTTGTAGTTTCTATTCATTGGAGGTTGGGTGGGTGGAGGAGCACACCATGCAGTGTCTCGGATCAGTTCTGTGGGTCTATGCTGTCTATAAGGCGTGCTGGGTAAGGACCATCCATCCCTATGCAAAACAAGTATATTTCTCACTGCACCATCTCTAGGGCGCACAAATTAGCTTTCTAAACAACTACCACTGTCAAGCCAATCAAAAACTCACAGTATTTTTATACATGGTTGATGTCAGCACCTAGCAAAGCTAAGAGTCCTCTACTCCAAGCATCAGGTTTTGGAATTTCTCCCTGCCAATCCCAGCCCTCCACCTTTACAATCACATACTTGGTCCACTCCTGCTGGCATAATAATATTTATTCTGTATTCGTGAATCTTACCAACTCACTCGTAGTTGCTGACCCCATTCCCAAATCAAAGTGCTGTAATACCAAATTCTGAAGTCGCGGTTTCAGTTCTGAAACTGAAGAGAACATGCAATTCACACATGTCACACATGTCACAATATGTAGCAAAATGATGCCATGTAGTTAAGAGTACATCTCTGTGGTTCTCAAAGTCCAAAGAGTCCCACACTAAACAAAAGATTCGGATAGTGGAAAACTGTGAGGATCTTGGCAATTCTACACTAGGTTATGTTTTTGTTTTTGAGCAGACCTGGTGATGTTCGGGGAACCAGGTTATTGAACAGATTATTGAACAGGTCACATTCAGGTACTGCAAGGCGCTCCCTGCTGTACTATCGTTTAGATCCAAACTATCAATGTTATGGTCTTATTTATTCAAAAGCCATGGAAGCAAATTACAGGATCATTCTGTGATTGACAGTCCAAGGAAATGAAGAGCAGCTTGAGTGCGGCACAGACCCAAGGATACAGGACACCAAGGCCCCGGCCTCAGCAGCATGTTTCACACATGCTCAGGGCACCCATATACTGCACAGGGCCTGATCCAGGAAGGGTCCTCAGACACTCACCCGCACACACGCCTCTCCTACCCGACCTCAAAACTCCTCCTTGAAGCCAGGAGATCACTGCAGGCTTCATTCCAGTGTGCCCTGTCGCAACAGAGACAGAGGCATGGATAAGTAACAGGGAAAAGGTGACAGGTAAATGCCCATGTTTTCTTGATATAAGTGGGCATTTATCTGAAAATCATGAACAGAATGTCCATTTCCAAAATTCCACATATTTCTAGTTATTCGAGAGGTAAGACCCAAGAAAATATCACAAATACTCTAGACCTGGCCTTGTGTATGGCAGATAGGGGGTTGATTAGCACAGTATGTTTTTGTTTTTTGTCTTGTTTTGGGTCTCACCTGGCAATGATCAGGGGAGACTCCTGACTCTGTATTCAGAAATCACTACTGCTGGTGCTCGGGTATGACATGGGTTGCCGGGAATTTAACCCACATGCACCGCTTGCAAGAAAATCACTTTCATCCCTGTACTATCTCTCTAGGTTCAGCAGCACATGGAGTTTCCTCAGCCCCTCATGAACTTTTCACGGATTTCAGTAAAACTAAGTGCATAATAAATCTGGAAATGGCCAAGGGTGACAAGATACCCTTATTTTTTAAGCTAAAAATGTATCCAGAAAGAGAGCACAGCAGGAGTTTCTCACGGACAATCCAGTTGTGATACCCGATATCTCCTAGGGTCCCTCAAGCCAGCCAGGAGCGATCCCTGAGTGCAGAGTCCAGAAGCAAACCCTAAGTCCTGCTAAAGTCTCACAAGAACCATTAGAAGTAAATCAAAGCACTGAAATAGGGCAGCGTCTAATGAGTTGAGAGATGAAATATCAAATCTCCTGTGGTGGGAAAGAGATAGTACAGCAGATAAGACAGAAGTGCTGCACACACATGTGGGTTTGATCCCAGGCAGCCCATATGGTCTTGGAGCAAGGCCAGGTGTGGACCCTGAATACACAGGCAGGAATAATTCCTAATCCCTAAGGAAAAAAGAAAATGCAAAAACCGTCTGACTTGAGTGACTGATGCAAAAGTACTGGGGGTGAGGCAGCGACAGTTTAACTTGCCAAGAGGTTTAAATATACGGTTCCATATGGCCCCTGAACACTCGTAGGCGTCATCCTTTAGCACAGAGCCAAGAGAACTGTGGACTGTGCCCCCCAAACAAAGGCAACAGCAAAACCAATTAAACACACAAAATTTCGTGTAGTACACAAAGTAAATTGTTGCACCAATGGATGGAACTATTTAAAGGGCCTGAGTGATAACTGGGCAGACAGGGATCTTCCCATGGACACAGTCGAAAACGGTTGATCTGAATCACCCCATAGGGTCCAGCTACCCCACAAGAGTAATTCCTGAAGACAAAGCTGAGAGTAAGCCCTGAGTATCCACAGGTGAACCCTAAAAAACACGAGGGAGGGAAGAGCTACTGCACGCCTATCACAGAGCTACTGTTGGACACACAGCTTCCGCCCAACCCCAGGGAGCCAACGCAGGTCTGTTCAGACATGGTTGGCTCCACACTGCTCTCACCGACAGCCTGCAGATTCTGGTAGGTCTCCAGCATCACGTCCCTGTAGAGCTTCCGCTGAGAGGCCTCCAGGCATAACCATTCCTCTGGGGTGAAGTTCACAGCCACGTCGTGGAAGGTCACTGTGTCCTGAGTCAGCACACGAAGAGGGTGGGAGTCAGAGTCTATCTTAGCCTCATTCACACTACTCTGAGGCCAGGTCCCAGGGTCCTATATTGTCGCGGGGCCTCTCCACTCCGAATAAACCAGCCTCCATGCTCACGCATGACTGATGGGCCCCAAAAATCACATAAGGCAACTGGATCTGCTAAAGTGGGACGACGTGATACAGAAGGTTCTTGGATGTATCTGCCTTTCCTGGTAACCCCCCGGCCAATTCGAGCACCACTGTTCCAGTGAGCACTGTAGAGAGGATCACCTGAACACAGACTTGTACGATCCAAAAGGCTATCCCTGGGTGTAGCAAAAACTACTGCATGCTCACCGCTGCAGCCCCACAGCACATGACCACTAGGATTGAGAACTCGAGAGTCCATATAGACAACTACTCAGAACAGTGCATGGCATGTCTGCCTGTAGGAACTCACTGCACTGGACCACCCCACATCCCGCTCAAAGAAGTTAGAAGTTTCTTGACCCCAACATCTCTACTGGCCGCAGAGATCCTTGGCTTTCTCCTTGGGATCAGCACATGCCCAGAAATCCACACACAAGATTATGTGAACTTAAGACTATATGACCGAGCAGGTAGTCTCTCCAACGCAGGAAGGACAAAACAGGAGAAAACCAAGTCTGGAGGCCCAAGTCACTGTAGTTGCCAGGGCGCAAACGGGGCCAACACACCCCAGGGTGCTCTGACGCCAGTCAGTTGTGAATCCAGAGCACAGAGTCAAGAGGACAGCTGATGACAAAAACGATGCAAAAGAAGCCGAAGCAGCAGTTTGGCGTAACAGGACAGCTATTCCAGGGACAGCAAGTAGGACTGGCGATCCCCAACATCCCATATGGTCCACAAGCACTGCCAGGGGCAATGCCAGAGTGCAGCACAAGAAATGATTGCAAGAATCCTTGCTCTGCCACCCCAAAGAAAACAGAAAACCCAAGATGAAACCTTTGGACCTCCAGCATCCCATTCGTCACCTAGACCTTTCAGGAATGAACATTGAGCACTGAGCTTTGAGTACTCCTCATGCACCACTGGGTCGGCCCCAAGGCCAAATAAAACAAAACAAACATACACAAAAGCAGCTTCAAACAGCAGAAAGGGACGGTCCGATCG